CTTATTGTATCAATATTATCATCTTCTCTTCCCTATAGAAAGAAATCAAAGTTCATGAGAAGAATACCAAACAAAAAAAAGAAGCTAGAAAAAAAAATTAACAAAGAAGAAACAAGAATAACATAAAAGTTCAAAGAATTGCAAACACGAGGAGAAGTCTTCTACCAAGAAATTATATGTCTAACCTGGTTCCGACCCAAAAGACGTCTCTCCATCTCTTCTTCAGGACAATCAAAGAAGAGCACAAACTCAGGCTCAATTCCAGTCTGGAAAACATTAGAAGTGTGATAGTCAAAGTTTAACAACTCTCAACTGAATAGGAGAATTATGAATTATCAAGATGTAGTTAAAAGAGCGTGTACTGAGGAACTCACAACTGACTCAAAAGCTGCACGGTTCTCCTCATTGCGAGGGAAACCATCAATAAGAAATTTGTCGTTCCCATTTTCCTGAATTGCTCGTTGGAGAAGCTTAATTGTTACCTCTGATGGTACAATTTTCCCTTCTTTAATCATGTTTGAAATCATCGTCCTGTACATATGTGAAATGAACAGTTTACAATGCTGATACAATGAGCAATTCTCGGAATATGATGAAATACAAACAAAGCTAGTACAGTTTAAACTCTATGCACCACATTTAAATCATGGTGCTGAAGAGTAATCCTTTGTGTGCAATAAACATTGCTTGAACCAGCTATTGAACTAAAAACAAAAGGATAATGCAACTTAACAAACGGCAATTGATCTACTATACAAAATGCTGGTTGAAACTACCAAGGGTAAAAAGTACGGAGAAAGATAAAGCAACACAATCAAAACACAGATATCCTACCCGTTCTCTGAACCAGATTTTATTTCTGCTCGGAGAAGATCACCAGCACTTAGATGGGTGTACCCAAAGTTTTCAACAATATTAGCACACTGGGTGCCCTTACCACTGCCTGGGCCACCTGTCCATGTTAATAGTGAAAACAAATCTTAGCTCAAGAAAAAAATCCCATATGAAGGGTACAGATTGCTTCAACAAATATGCTATGTCCAATGAGGATGTGTATTGGATCCACAAATCCATACAGGTTGCACCGTAATTTCCTAATAAAATTTAATTCAAAATTCACAGACAAATTCTTTCTTGATCGAGAAGATAAAGAAGTGGAGCACCTAGCAAAGAGTATACTAGATATACCTTCCTTACAGGTTTGCTTCCGTAACCCTCACGTGTCAAATAATTATAAAACCCTCCTGTTAACTATAATGTAAATAATCACAAAAATGAAGCCCATCACGTTCGAATATCAATTCTATCTTCACAATATAAACTAGAGTAGTAACTATTCCAACCAGTCAATCTGATATGGCTTTTACAACCATCCTTCAATATAGCTTCCTGTTTCATTTTGATCAAAACTGGATGTAAAAGCCCAAAGGATCCTAATGGTCGTACAGTCAATCGTGAATTTATCTAATAAATGGATTATGATGGTTTGAACAAAGGAGCTATACACTTGTGTCTCTTACAGCCTAAAAGCTAAACCCTAAAGGTTGCATATTAATTGGTATAAGAGGTAACACTAAGTGAACATGTTGATCGGATAACTGCTACAATGGCAAATATATGATTGTCCAATGAGTTCCACCTCTAATCCTCACATCAACTACATATAGGCAAAATACTTTTGCCATACTATGAGGTGCTGTATCGAGGATGCCACAAAATCATGTGATGTTGATGTTGAAAAACTCACCTAGAACAAAAATAACAGAGACCTTCTTGTTGGTTGGCAGGCTTCCTGCTCCCTGCAATTCATCATTGGAAAAAAGAATATCAATCTAAGGAGAATGTGACATCTGCATGATACCGTGCAGGAGCAGAATTCATTGATAGTTATACTATTTACAAAGAGTGGTAACTTGAGTAGGGGAAATTCTTTTATATTCCAAAGTAATGTTTTTAAGATAATATAATTAATTCCTCTTGACAAAAATCCATAGAAGTATATGAGAAGTCTTCACAAATTTTAAAACTTCAGATAAGGAATGGGAGTTGGACCCTTATTGCCGCTCTTTCTTGGTGTCGGTGTTGGTGCATGCATGCTGCAAATCTAGAAAATCGGTATCTAAATTCACAGTGCAATTGCTGTAGCCCCATCTATTGTAAGACACCAGAAATGTACACCAAAATTCTACTATTTAAAGCCTCTAAATCTCATATTTTTTATGCTAGCTTTTACCATATATTTTTTTTAACTCCAGGTAGACAATAGAGAAGATAGATAGCTTAATTGTCAAGCATCCCTCCAATAATGTCTGCTAGTAAAGAAAGCATTTCACTTTATTCAGATTCCAGATGCTTAGATAATATCAGAATCAGAACTCATCCACAAAGTGAGCTAAAACCAATAATCAAGGTAGTAAGAATATTCTTTGTGAAGAAACTTACCTGGTTAGAAGAATCGACAACAGTCCCCATGGATGTCTGGTTACTGGTCTTACCAAATTGTCTGCAGAAAGAACAGGAATGTTATATGTACATTCTTCTATGTTTGAAGTAAGTGAATAGGACCTCACAAAACAAAGGGAAAGGTAGCAAAGAAAGATGATACTGACCCTAAAAAGAAATTGTGTGTGTGTGTGTGGNGCTTTCATTTCTTTTATCACAATAAGAGTTGGAGATCGGATGCTGGAATATTTGGCCAACATCAATTAATATATTCCAGTGTCAGATCACAAAAGAAAATTCAACGTGCTCACGTTAATACGCTTCAGACACTACAACAGCTAATTAAAACAAGATCGACTTGACAGAAAGAAGAAGAGAAGCTTTTGCAATCAGCTACAATGTCTCCACAAAATGTAGCACTGTAAAGCTTGAAGCTTTAGGCATACTTTGGTACATGCACTAGCTTTAGCATGAATTTATTCTTGCTCGCACAGATTCCCAAATACCAGCCTAAATGATTTACAAGCCTTGACAAAATGGCAGCATTTCTAGCACTATCCTAGAAGAAGAGTCACCAAAATTTGTCCAATACACTCCACCATTGAAATTCAAGGAGATCAATTCAATTAAAACTAAACCATTACTGACATAACAACCAAATCCTACTCGGATCAAAGCAAAATAAAAAATAAAAAAGAGCAAAATTTTCGAAGCAAAAATCAAAACTTTCAACATTGAGCTAAATAAAACAATCAGTGCAAGATCAAGCACACGCAAACGAAATGAAATTAAACAGATCAATTTAAGTAAAACCAAAAATCATAATTAGAGGGGAAAAAACAACCAAATTCATACTCAGATCAAAGCAAAAATAGCGCCAAAATATAAAAGCTAATCTCAAGTTCCGAAACGAAGAACATTAAGCTAGATAAAACAACCGATGCTCAAATCAAGTGTACACAAACGAAAATCCAGGCGGATCATAGCCAAAAAGAACACGTAAATAACTTAAATAAAGTATAGAGAAAAAAAACAGCGAAAACTGAGCAATGCAAGGTTGAAATTCACCAGATGAATTAGTAATTAGATCAATCAAAGCATAGATCGGGAAAAGACGGATAGGAGAAAGCGAGATCTGAAGCTTACCGAAGAAGCTTGAAAATTAGAGATTAGTGAAGGCAGAAATATGGAGGGAATGTGATGCGAAGAGGTCGGTAGCGTGTTTCTGATTTATTTATAGCCCAAAACAAATAAGGAGTAGCTGAAGAATTGGGGGAACCAATTTTGAACGGTAACTCTCTGCCCTTTTTCTTTCTTACTCCACATGTTGCGTCCATTTGCTTCCTCTCTCTCTCTCTATTTTTTTTAATTTTTATGTTATTTTTAAAGTAAATTGACTAATCTATAATTTTGCTGTAGACATTTTTTGAATTTTATAAAACAATAGTAGAAAATAAGTTATTGAGTGATTTAAAATGAGAGTCCCGTTTTATATATCATGATTAGTGGCGGATGCAACTCTTAGGTAATGACTTTATCCGAACCCACTATTTTATATATATATATATTAAAAATTAACAAATATTAGATTCAAACCCATTGATGACAATTTAGGAATGTTGATATTCGGGAGAAGGTATACGTGGCTTCCATTGATGACAATATGCGGAAAGCAAGGCTCAGATGGTTCGGGCATGTTCAGAGGAAAAGCCCGGATGCTCCGGTAAGGAGGTGCGAACGTCTAGTTGTGGAGGGTATGAGGAGAGGTAGAGGGCGGTCTAAGAAGTATTGGGGGAGGAGATTAGGCAGGATATGGCGAGACTTCAGATTTCCGAGGACATGGCACTTGATAGGAACATGTGGAGGTCGAGTATTAGGGTTGTAGGTTAGGAGGTAGTGGAGTTTTGTCTTATAGCATATCTTTGTGAAACTAGTTTGGTAGGGATACTATTTTGCTTTTGCCTTGCTTTTGCTTTTGCCTTGCTTTGGATCATTTTTCTTGATTTTTGTTTCTATTTGTCATATTTGTTTCATATTATTTCGGTGGTGTTACTAATATTGTTTTTTTGTCTTCTTGAGCCGAGGGTCTTTCGGAAACAGTCTCTCTACTCCTTCGGGATAGGGTAAGGTCTGCATACACATTACTCTCCCCAGGCCCCACTAGTGGGATTTCACTGGATCGTTGTTGTTATTGATTAGATTCAAACCCAAAATTTTAAAATTATAATGAGTTAAAAAAGAACTTTTCAAATTTAAATTATGAATCTGCCTTGGATTATGAATTGAGTACAATATTTACTAATCTTAAAACCATATGCATAAACTAAAAAGGAGAATGTATTTTTAAATAGGAATGTTTGTTTATTAGTATTGGAAGTGGTTTGTTGGTTGGGGAAATAAGGTTGTACGAGAATCGGAGCCTAAAATAAGAAAACAAATCTGCGAGCTACCGTTCATTCTTCAAATAGACAATCTCAAATGTCTTATATTTATTTTTAATTAAAATTCTGTTTATGCTCATGACTCCTTGATAGGTACTTTACACTTGTTTCTTTCCCTTTATTTTCTTCTGTTTGGTATAAACTAAAGATATGCTAATATCCTTAATTTAATGGGATGTGGAGAAACGCCATGTTTGGCTTTTTGCTAAGTTCCTTAGCTCGGTTTTTCAAAATAAAAATTATTAATTCCACATTATAAATTTTCGAAAGAAGCTTAACATAACAAAATAAAATGCAAGCACAAACTTGAATTTACGGAGAACCATTTTCCTTTAAAACTATTTTTCGATTATATTGAAGGATCAGAGAAAAAAGAAAGAAGAAGAAAAAAAATACCGCAAGAATTAGAGGCATATCTAACATAACTTCCATCGATATTACTAAATTATAAGGGATCATTTGGTAGACAGGAAAAGAGAATAATTTTGGGATTAAATACAGAATTATTTTATCCCGCATTTAATTAAATTTTTGCATCCGGAATGTCTAATATATTAAAAATACACATTTATCGTACTGTAGCACCTCTAATACATTAAAAATATCTTTTCTAATATCTCCGTCGATGTTACTATACAATATGGGTCCGTTAGGCCATAAAAAATTCTTTTTTTCAAAATTTTTTACTTTTTTTCGAAATTAGTGTTTGACCATGAAATTTTCGATTTTACTTGAAAATAAATTTCGGAATTTTTGGAAAATTTGAAAAACTTCAAAAAATTTATTTTTTCAAAATTTTCATTTCAGTCACTCACAAAAATTCATAAACAACAAAATAATTATATTCATGTCCAAACACAACTTTAATTTTCAAATATCATTTTCGCTTGAATTTTACCATTCTTATGTCCGAACCAAACGCCAACTAAATGTCGGTTAGTCGGTGGTTATGTTCAAACTTTACTTCGCCTAAAATGAGCAGCTCTTAGAAGGAAATGTCAATGGCGAAAATTAAATAAGAAGGTTCTTAGTATTGTGTACTTCACCCCTAAGACTTCTTTTCACCAGAATTACCAATTTGGGATTAGACCATCACATCTGTCTCTCCTCTTTATTACCACCATTTATTGTTAATACCAAATTCTTGCTTCCGCATGCTTAGCTGAATAAACCCCCATGTTCTGGATCTTGAATGCAGATAGGAAAAAACGGTTAAACAACCACTATGTGAGACCATACATTTCTAATTTATTAGGCGTCTTTTGAACTTAAAAAATGGTTCAATTTTAGTTAAAGAGATTAGACCACCAATTAGCTAAAATATCTGGTGCTACTGCATCCTCCCCATAGTTTAACAAATTTCACACAAAAAAAAATTAAAAAAAATATTACTAAAGGTCAGTTTTCTAATTTATTTGAAACTTGAGGCATAATTGTTGTTCTAGTAATTTTCTATTATGTTCCCCAATTTCAATGTAAAGCATTTAGCTATTTTCTTAATCCGATTTTAGGTCATTTTTAAAAGTGTGTATATATTTTCCTTTTTTTTTCTAGGATTTAATTTGTTACAAGGTCTTAAATTCAACATTTAATTACTTTTGAAAATTTATTTTTAAACATTAAGGAAATAATTTAAAGATTATGTGATAAAATCTTACTTGGTAAGTAAAGAAAGTGTCAAAAAAAGGTACTCGTCAAGACACAATATTAGAAGTTAATGATTACTTTTTAGCTAGTCAAGCTTGGAAATAAATATGCTCCCAAGTCCAATGGAGGAGGCTTAAAGAATCATCAAGGTTGACACTCTTTTTTCATGTGATAAAAGCTTATTCTCTTTTTATTTTTCGAATTAATTCTTTTCCATTTAATTTTAGCAAAAAGGGTCTTTGTCAAGGATTCCTAAAAATAGTCCGTGGAAGTATAATATATGCATAATTTATATATTATATATGTATAATTATGTATAATCAATGTATAAATTATGCATTTGACTGAAAAAAGTAAACAATAAATATTGCCAGCTATTTGTGTAAAAATCCCTTTATATATACTATAAGTACCTGCATAATTTGCGGATGTTATAAAGTAAAGAAAACAAAAATTGAAAGTTAAACATATTTCATAATAAAATTTATGCGTTCATCACAATAAAGCATAATTAGCTTAACATAATTGTGACCGAAGAGCTTTATTTAAAAGTACAATAGTTCTAATATGGATGCATTAGTTTATATATCGTAGCAAAGTTTGATAATAACCTGCTTTCTACTTATAAGATTCCTCCATGATCCTTTATTCTACTCGTTAATAATATTGGAAGAAAGAAGACATTGAGAACATTTATTGATTTTCTGTGGATCAAACATCTAACACGCATTATAGTTTTCGTCATGCTTGAAAAATATGACGCATGGCAACTCCACTAATATAGGCCGTTGCGTATACGGGCCCCATTTTGCCATTATTTTGAGATCAGAGAACTGCATCGAGGGTCAGCCTCATAATGGATCAGGCCTGAGTATGAAGACAAGATACCGAGTTCGAAGATCGAGGTACCCATCGAGATCGAGGTCCCCGACGATCGAGACCAGATATGATCAGCTTCGAGCGGAACGCAATAACGGAAAGACGAAATATCCGTAACCAGTCGGAGATCACGGCGGAAATCCCAAAACAGATTAAATCAAAGGCGGTTATTTTTATCAATCATGGGATTTACTTCCGTAATTAGAATTTTAGGATTCCTCTAGAATATAAAGAGGGGTTCTCATCATTTGTAAACACCTTACATTCATATAGATCAAGGGAATATAATATTTCTCTATTATTCATCAACTTATTATTCTTTAACTGTTCTTACTTTACTACTCTCGGGGGTTCATCAGCTCGAAGACATTGTCCAAGCATCGGTTTATTTTATATCCTTGTCAATTCCTATCACTTATCTCTAAATTAATCAATTGATATTAAGTGAAATCACGTATCCTTAAAATCACATTACAAGTTTAATTGTTACTCGATTTTTAGGGTAAACAGTTTGGTGCCCACAGCGGGGCTAAGGATAATAGTGATTGCTTAATATTTAAACCTTCATAACACACTACTTTTACGCTTGTTCTTGTGAGCATTTTTTATTTCAGGAATAGGCATGTCAAACTCTCAAGCAGTACCCACTCACACTGATATCGACCATGGTCTTCATGGCGAAAATGAGCACGTAGTCGCCCCAGGAAACGGAGTACCTCCAATCAATCTCGACGCACCACATGCCGTGGATCCGGTTGATATCAATTCTAATGTTGCCATTCGTGGAGATTTAGGCGCCGACCCTGAAAATAGCGTCCGCAGAGACGCTCGAGCAACCGATCGGAACACACAAAATGGTGAAGAAGGCGAAATTAGCCTTCGATGATATTTGACATGCTGCAAACTTAACATGATGCGATAGCACAACTCCAAAACCATAATCGAGCCCCAAGCAAAATCAAACTCGATGCATCACAGGAAGTTGCTCAAAGGGTCGAACCTGTGCAGGAACAATTGAACAATAATGGATCGGGAACTGATCCTGCCGTCATGAAAATGCTCGAGGAGCTCACTAAATGGATAGAATCATGTGAAAAGAAAATCGAGGCTAATGAAAAAAAGGTAGAAACGTACAACTCACAAGTTGACCAAATACCGGAGGTCAACTCCAAGTACGCAGCCTATATCAATTCCACCTTACAAAATGGCACCGGCAAAATTGAAGGAATTGGAGGAACAATTGAAGGATTTGTTAGAGAAGAGATTCATCCGACCGAGTGTGTCGCCGTGGGGCACATCGGTTTTGTTT